CAGCCTCAATAAGTTCAGAGATACTCATCGCTAGGAAGTCAGGCACCAGATGATTTTTTTGTTTGTTTTTGCCACAGAAATTCACAAAATTCTCTGCTGAGGCATAGGGGCATTATGATCTGTAATTATTAATGATTGGCATTTGTATAGTGCCTTAGTATTTATCAAGTGCCTTCTATATGTACCATGGGAGGGAGCACCCCCATGAGTGGGATCATATGTCCTTGAAATCCTGGAGTACAATTTATTCCAACATGATTTTGGACACAATGAAAACATCTACAAATTATAAAAATTCTGTCCTTGAAATGATAGGAAGTATGGCCAGCCCTGGAATCAAAAAGACCTGGGTTTAATTCCTTGCTCTAACATATATTGGCTGAGTGGTCATTGGCAATACACTTAACCTCTCAATTCCTCAAGCAAATCTCTGAGATTATAAATGTTAGACTGACCAATTTACATTGATAGTGAGTTCCCACACATTAGTGAAATCATAGGTACAGATTTTTTAAAAAATCACTAAAATGTCAAAGCCTATGATGAGGAAACCATATTACCTATTTACACAATTAAAACTATTCACATAAAACAAAATGTACTGACTTCTATTCTCCATCCTTTCCCCAAAACGATTATGGATTCTGCATGTTTATTTATTAAAACAAACATATGCAGCCTTTTGGCAGAACATCAACATTTTAAAGTATAATAGGGGTCTTCTAAGTATGTGACCACCCGGCTTTCCTGTTGCAGTTGGAGACTTCCAGGCTTAAATGAGCCTCATTAGGAGACTCCAAACCAGCTTAACAATTAGGCTCATGCCTAGCATTAACCAACAGGTCAGTATGAGGGAAGTTGGCCTCCCACAGCCTGTATTTTGGGTACAAATAAGCATAAGGTAAACCCCAATGGGACTGGTTTCCATTAGTAAAATTACACCTCATCTTTCATGAGGATTTTATGCGAATTCTGCCGAGTATGTCTGTGGTCAAGGCAGGAAACATTTTAAATGCTAGTTAGGGTCTGTAAAGAATATGCCACAAATATTTTTGGTATCCTCATGTGATATTCCTGCTGAGTACAAAGATGATTCCACTTATAACCACTCCTTCCAGCCCAGTAATTCCTCTCCTTACTTATCTTTCTCTCATGCTCAGAAGTCATAGAATGTCAAGAGTTGTAAGAGACCTTAGATATCTTTAAAGTCAAAATCCTTTATTTTAGAAGGAGGAAACCAAGACCCAGAGATATGGAAATCTCTGGCCCACGGCAGCACAGCTAGTTAGTGACAGATTTGGATTTCAAACTCAGGCCTACTGACTCCCAATTCCAAAGTTCTTTATGCTACTCTGTGATTCCTCTCTTCTACCTTCTTGCATGCTCTTATTCTCTATTATTCTTTAAGGTGCTTAGTCTAGTCCCTGCAATGAAACTGTAACTTTCTTGAATCTCTTGAGTCTTCTACGTTTGCATCTTCCAAAGCACCTAGCATAATGCCCGGCATAGAGGTGTCAAAATACTCAGGTGGCCCACAACACTCCCAAGTAAGGCCCAACTAGATTAAAATTTAATAAAATTTAATTAATGTTCAACAAAATAAGTCAGGGATCTTTATGTACAGCTTAGTGGCCTTGTTTTTATTTGAGTTTGACACCATTATCTTAGGACATAATAATCACTCAATAAGATTTTATTGTTTGGTTGACTGATTCTGTAGCAGTCAGCAAGCATGTATTAAGCAACTACTACGTGTTATATGAGATGATGGGCATAGCAAAGACAAAAATGAAATAGTCCATGCCTCAGACCTTAGGAGCCAAGTAATACTCTCTCTTTCTCCAAAAAAAAAAAAAAAAGATAGTGCCTTAGTAGAAGTAGATGACCAAGATTCTAAAATCCCCACTTCTTTATCATGCGAGGAGAAAATATGTATGCATCAGCTGATCTGATTTCATCAGTGTGAACACTCTTCCACTGATAGTGACCCTTTCATACCTTGTTAGATAGTCTTCATAAGTTACTGTACCCAAAAAAATTAGTAGAGTCAATAGTTGTAGAAAGTTAAGATGTGTCTTTTACACAATATAGTATATACTTCATCAATCGTAACAACATTTATGTTAATAGCACTATTGTGCAAGAAATTTAATGTCAATCCTTGGTATATATCCATATCTTTACCAAACTCAGAGATTAAGAAGGTAATTGATGATCTGGAGAGCATCTAGAGGAGGATAGCCAGGATGATGAAGAAAGGCATTGAATCTATATATAAATGAAGATCAGCTGAAAGAACTAGGAGTGTTTAGCCTGGAGAAGGAAAGACTGAGAGGAAATATGATAGCTCTCTCCAAGTATTTGAAGGGCTGTTAATATGAAAGAAGCATTAGACATGTAGGGTCATAGATGTAGAGCTCAAAGTTATGTTTGAGGTTATCTGGTAAAAATGAGGAAATTGAGACCCCAAGAGGCGAAGTAATTTGTCCAAGGTCATATACTTAGTATGTGGTAGAGCCAGTATTCAAAAGTACATCCTCAGACTCCAAATCCAGCTTTTTTTCTACTATATCAGTTTACCTCTGTTCAGACTTGTTCTTTTTGGCTCCAGAAGGCAAATCTGTGAACAGTGGGTAGCAGTTGAAAAGAGGAAAATTTGTGCTTGATGCCAGGAAAACCTCACAATTGAAGCTCTTCAAAAATGGAATGGGCTGTGCTGAGAAGTAGTGGGTTCCCCCTCTATTGGGTTCTTCTCCATTGGAAGGGTTGAAGTAGAGGCTCAAGTACATAATGATAGAGATCCTATCTAGATTGTATACAACTGAGGAAATTCTGTGGTGAATACACAAAGTATGGCTTCTGCCAGGTATTCAGTCCTATTTGCTATAGATAATGAAGACTACCTCACAGCAAGATGACCAACTACCTCTGGGTTTTTAAGTATTATGGTGGAATTTCAGAAGATGAAATAGCCTTTACAAGCCAAGGCAGAACAGCCAAGTATTGTTAAGAGTGCTGCATAAGTAAAGTCCTATAGAATCACTGACTCAGAGTAGAAAGTGACCTTAGAGGTCTGATCTTCCATCTAGTCCAGGAGTGTCATCTGTTCCATCCATGAGGCAGGGTTATCCAATTTGGGTTTGAGCACTTGTTATTGTGGGTTCCTGTCTCACAAAGCAGTCTATTACATTTCTATACAGCTCTGATTTTAAGGAAGCCATTTTGATCTGAAATCTGCCTCCGTATAACTTTTCCCTGTTAGTCCTATTTCTGCCCCCTGAAGCAACATAGAGTAAATCTATTCTCTTTTATAGATGTCAGCCCTTCACATTTTCAGTCAACTACCATGTTTCCCTTAAGTCTTTTTTTTTTTCTCCAGGCTAAACATCCCTAATTTCATCAACCATTTCTCATTGGTTCTTCTCTCTCATGGTCATTCTCCTTTGGAAGGAATCCAGCTTGTCAATGCCTCTGCTAGACTGTGGTACACAAAATTGAACATCCACCTCCAGATATGATGTGGCAATATTACAGGACTAGCCCCTCCATTGTTCTGGACTCTGCTTCTCTCAGTGCTGCATAAGGGACATAGAGTTTTTTGGGAACCATATCATGTGGTTATCTTAATGTGCCTTTGCTTTTATAGCAGTTTCCTTAAAGGAAGTTGAGATCTAGAGAGCCCTTAAAGCTCTGATTGGTCAGAATTGGCATTGCCCCTCTAATCATTTCCACTTTTAATCCTACTGCCACTTAGGGACTCTTGCTGGAATTCTGTGCATATTCATGGAGGAGGGAAGGGGCAGTGGGCTCAGGCATAAGGTGGGAAGAGGACATTTGCTAACTTGGCTAACTACTCTGGATAAGAGTTTGATGAGGAAGAAATTCAAACAGAAGGTCAAGATGGTAGGCTAGGGATTTCTAATCCATATTATTTGGACCTTTTTTTGTAGCTCCATTAAAGCTTTCTGCTAAATTTATGAATGCCCTAAAGAATTTAACAAATAAAAACTATCTTTCCTGGTACTTTGGCCATTATCTGTAAGGAGATCCATTTTTATAGTTATTTAACACTTAGTGATAAAAATCCTTAGAAAGGCTATGCTCTTGGATGAGACTATGATGTTATAAGAGACTATGATGTTATAATATATGTTATATTATATATAACTATAATGTTATACTCCAAATACAATCCCATTTGCCACAGACACTTCTCACAAAGTGCTAATGACACCATGCCAATACTTAATACTTTTGGAAGTGATGTCATTGGTCATGCAATTTGAAAATTAATGGGACTGGAGAAATGTGCTCCTGGGAAGAGTAGAAGAGGGAGTAGAATGTTCCAGTTTTTATTTTGGCATCTCTGACAAACCATAGATGTAACATCAATACAAAATCATATCCAAACATTTCATATGAAGGCCTCAGAAATCATTATGGGGCACATAAAAGTGTAAAGGGAAGATATCTCTCTCTACCTCTCCCTTTCTCCCTCTCTCTCTCCCTTCCCTTTTTTCCACTGGTGCCATTGGTTAGTTTAGGTATCAATCAGCAACAGTCCAGGCAGCAATAATTGTAATTGGTTTGCCAAATCATCAAAAGCTGTCCTAATGCTTATAAACAGCTCTGGCAGACAGTAACAGTAGATACCAGATGCTGAACCAGAACACAAAAAGAAAAGACCCTCAGGAAGCACACAGTGTTTTTTCTTGCTCTGAAAATCTGAATCAACAGCCAATATTATCAAATCCTCAGGAAAAGGTGGGGAGGCACTCACCACATCACTGGGCTCAAAAATTTTCCTTATCCCTGGGGGAAATGTTTTTCTGGAAAAGGTGAATTGTTGCTAATGTTACAGGCTGATCCACTATAAAATGTCTTGTTGAAACCAAGAATGATGAACACTGGGCAAGAAATATAGAGGCAATTGGCTATGAAAGTATTCAGTTCTGAATCATTTTCCTCCTCCCTTTTTATTTTCCTAATATCTCTGACAGGGCCGAGTGAGTTGTACTGGAAGGCTGATGGTACAGGCTGTCAACCAGAGAGGCCGCAGTCCTCGTTCTCCCTCAGGCCAGCCTCATGTGAGAAGGTATCTTATGTATTTCCTTTACATAGATACTATAACAGCAAAAAAATACTGCCAGGGTCATGGTTGAACCCCAAGACAGAATACATTCAGAAGATATACTGGAGGATTTTTACATTCGACACCCTTCTTGTATTTCTTTACAGGATATTATGGGTCAAGATAAATTGCATCTTTCCAGTATTGAAAGACTGTCAAAATTCCCTGGGGGTGGGCAGAGAGAAGAAGAGACTTTACAATTTCACTGTTCCAAATAAAAAGCATAGTGCAGTATATAAGTATTAATACAGAAGTACATAGTGCAATACATGAGAGTGCTGAATTTTTAAGTTTGAGGACCTCGGTCCAGATCCTGGCTCTTGTCTCTACCTGTGTGACCCTGGACATTCTCTTTGGGCCTGAGTTCCATCATCTGTAAAATGGACTCAGTATCCCTTTAGGTTCTTTCCAACCCTGAAGCTACAATCCTGTTAGTCTCATAAGCAAATATTCGTCAATCTGGTTTGAAAAAGTGAGGAAGTTCATAGCTTTCTCTCTAAGAAGTTGATCTTTAGATGTATCTATAAGGTGCTCCTCTTAGGATTCCTTCATTTAATGACAAGAATACAGGAAAAATCCCAGATTACATCAGAGATGGAACTCCTAGTAGTACAAATTAAAGCCTGACTATGAGTTCATATAGAAGTCCTATGGAGTTGCTTTGAGCACACAGAGGTTAAGTGACTTCCCTTTAAAAGAGCAGAGAAGCCATTCTGAAGATCATCACTGATTTGTCTTTCTTGGCAAAAAAAAAAAAAATCCATCCTATGAGGAGTTTGTGTTGGAGGTTTCAGTGGAATTCCCATTGATCATGATTACACTGGGGAGGAAATATATTTAATACACCCCTTTGGTATTGTTTAATATTACTATGAGATGTTTCAGGCAACCCCAAGGGCTGTTTAGCATTTCCCACAATAAGTGGGGTAGAAGCTATTATAAAGGATAATAATTCAGATTAAATACTATTCCCCTCCTTCTCCTCATTTATGTGGGCTATCAGGCTAGGTCAGAAAAACTTTCCCTCAGAGCAAAGGGAATTATGCTGAAACCTCCAACACCAATTCCCCAGTGGATGGGTCTTTTATGACTCAGGTAGCAAGAATGGTACCGAGAATGGGCTCTCTGCCTCTTTAAAGGGCCAGTAGCCCAGCCTGTCAAACAGATACTGCCCCTGCCGCAGAGAAGTAGCCTCAGAAAGTTCTAAATGGAAGCCATAGTCCACAGCAACAACAAGCATTTTGTGTATAGGCCTTTGTGAAAAAATAAATATACAGTAAAAAGAGTAACAGCAGATGCAAAAAAATTTCAGGATGTGACAGAAGGGAGGAGAACCTAGGTAAATGTCAGGCATTGGACATGTCTATACCTCCTCCAGAAGACTGAATCCACCCATGGATGGGTATATTTCAGACACAGAGTCTATGATATTTGGAAAAGCTCTCTTTGTTTGCTCTGTCCAAATTTAATTGAAACTTCATTTTGGCAACATCTGGAATCCTTGTATTTATTTTTAATTGCTGTCACAACTTACATTAAAACCTGTTTCTCTGGACGTGAACGCAATGGAACAATAAACTTACCATGTGCCTGAGTCAACCTTTTAGTTTCAATTCAGGCTCACTCTATTCTCCATCTCTTTCTTTAGTCACCTGTATTCATGCAAAAATAATGTATTTTTGACTCCCTGGTCATTTACATTCATTTGTGCTATTTCATGGTTTTTTTTTAAATATGAATTCCAATAAATGACATTATTTTGCATACATGTATCAATGTTTCCCTAGAGTATATTTTCCTCATAAACTAGACCTGTGCCTGGAGCAAGAATAAATGGATTATAAACAAGCTGACAATTATTTGTCTATCACAGTAAGAACACTTTGAATTTGTCCCACTATTGCTTTCTCTATTTAAGTGTTCTTAAACTTAATTCACTGTGATTTCTGGCAGGACTCCTTATTTTTCCTTGTGCTATCTTCTTTAGTTTTCTCTGAAATTAGTTTAAATTATTTTGCTCCTAAGTTCTCTAACTAGACTTTCCAAAGGGAGAAATAATATAAAGCACACATACCTGGTAGATTTCTCTTGATTTGCACATTCTCTTTAAAAGGACATTTTTGTAAATGTCATTGTGATCATGGAGTCAAAGGAAAATATGCTTTGCACTCTGTGTATGTGTATGTGTTTTCCAGATGGTATGAAAAGCACTAGGGACAACTAGGTGGCACAGTGGGTATAGAGTTGGGCCTGGAATCAGGAATACTTGAATTCAAATCTGGCATTAGACACTTAGTTTTTGTGTGACCTGAGCAAGTCACTTAACCTTGTTTCCCTCAGTTTTCTCATCTGTCAAATGAGCTGGAGAAGAAAATGGCAAACTACTCCAGTATCTCTGCCAAGAACACCCCAAAAGGGGTCATGAAGAATTGCACATGACTAAAAATGACTAAACAACAACAAAAATGAAAAGACCAGACTTCTTATCCAAAATGAGCCTCAATGCAAATGTGTTAGGATTTCATAAAATAAATGTTATCTTTGCATCTCCCACAAATCTAAGAACAAGTGGAAAGTTACAGTAATTTCCGTTGAAAAGAGTTGGGAGCAAATTAATAGGCAACAGCTGCCGCTACTTCTCACACAAAACTAAAGGGAAAAAATACTTCATTTGGAAAAAGAAAATTTTAATTTATACAGGATGTTCCAAAAGTCTTGGTGCTATTAAAACTTTAACATTGTACTCAGACTTTTGGGTTACCTGTATAATGCTCAATTTTTTCATTTACCTTCGTTTGGATTTGCAGTGATTTTAAAAACCCAAAGATGGCAAAAGTTCAAGTAAGATTTAATACTATGAGCAGTACCTATAGAATCAGAAGACCTGGCTGGGCTCCCATCTCAGCTGTGCCAATTACTTACCTGGGCAAGCAGACAGAAACACAGACAGGCAAGTCAGCTTTGAAAGCTATAGGTTGGATTTGTTACATGCTTTAAAAGAAAAGTAAGCTGTATATAATAGAGACCTGTAATTTCATGTATAATCATTTTTCTGTATGTATATGGAGATATGGATTTTATTTGGTAAGTTCAAAAAAAATTTTTTTATATATTGGGCAAGTCATTCTGAGCCTTAGTTTCCTCACCTGTAAAAGGAGGAGGTTGGCCCAGCTTGTCTCTAAGATTCTTTCCAGCTGATTTTAAGGCCTACTGCAATGCATACACCCTGAAGTTCAGGATTTGTCCCCAAATGAAATAATAGTTTCTAATGTTTTTTTATTCCATTATTGGTTGCCAAAAAAATTGAGATTAAAAAATGGAGCTATGTACCAATTCATCTATTGTGAAAAAAAAAAAATAAGTAAGAGAGCTGAAATCTGTGTACCCTGTTTCAAAGACCCCGATCTAGATCACGAGACAGTGGAGATGAAAATGAACCAATTCAAGAACGATTTTTCAGACCTCACTTCTTGCAGGCGCCTGGAGACCTCACTGTTCAAGAAGGAAAACTCTGCCGAATGGATTGTAAGGTAATTTGCTAATTGATGCTTCCTCTCTCACTTCATCTCAATATAATTACTTTGTACTTCTCTTGTAGAAAAGTTATATATGTTTCTCATTATTAGTAAAACTTCTTCCCTGCACATTCACTATAAATATATGGGTGGAGGTGCTGAATTTATTTAACTTGATAAGAAATGCTAAGAAAATCCTCCATCCCTCCCCCTCATCTTATGTTTATTTTGTGTCCGGATTTTTTTCCATTCTCCATTTCTAACAGAAATTGTAATGATACCTCATTTTCAGTGTCCTCTTATCTTCTGCCCTATTCAAGATCTTTGCCTCTAAATGTTCATTTCAAGCATTTAAGGGCTGAATTGTTAATTTCTAAAATCTTTGGGGCGCCCTCTGCTGGTTCTCTTCATACTACAGAAAACAAATTAATATCTGCTTACCATATTTTTCCATGAAAGAGAAACAAGGCCTTTTTCTTTTTTCAGAGGGACAAGAGGTATTGGATGTGTTTTATTATTTTGCTACTGCACTGTATTTTGATCTAGAAAGATAAGTATAAGATAAATATAAGTACAAGATAAATATAGTTCAGATCTTTTCATTGTAAAAATGATGGCAGACCCCCCCAAAAAACTTTTTTTTAAATCAGTCTTGTTTAAGATTCAACAAATACAATTTGTAACTCATGAGTCCTTTGTCAATATTAGGGTAGTGGGAGGGAAAAAATTATATGTATGTATAGATAGATAGATAGATAGATAGATAGATAGATAGATAGATAAAGGGCACAGGGTGAGTTGAAGATGAAGGGGTGATATCTGGAAAATAAAATTAAGGGGTGAAAGAGGATTATACTGGGAGGAGAAAGGGAGAAGTACAATGGGGTAAATTATGTCACATGAAACAGACAAGAAAAGCCTTTTACAATGGAGGGGAAATGGGGGAAGGTGAGAGGGAATGAGTGAATCCTGTTCTCATAGGATTTGGCTTAAGGAAGGAATAATATACCCAATGGGGTATGGAAATCTATCTTACCCTACAGGAAAATAAGGGGGGAAGGGAACAAGAGAGCAGGGGGTTGATAGAGGGGAGGGCAGATTGGGGGAGGGGATAATCAGAAGCAAACACTTCTGAGGAGGGACAGGGTCAAAAGAGAGAATAGAATAAATGGGGGGTAGGATAGGATGAAGGGAAATATACTTAGTTTTTCACACCATGACTACTGTGGAAGTGTTTTGCATAACTACACCTTTCTTGAGATGCTTGCATTTTCAATGAGTGGGTCAGGAGGGAGGAAGGCAGAAAATTTGTAACCCAAAGTTTTAAAAATACATGTTAAAAATAAAAAAATTTTACAAAAAGATTCAACAAATATAAATGTCTTACTTTCTGCCCTCAGTTTAAAATACATAATTTCAGGGAAATCACTGACAAGACATACTTACAAATAAAAAAAAATTTTTTTTTAATTAGCAAATATCTCTACTTTGATTTTCTTGCTAGGCTCTAAAATAGGATAAGTAAAATGATAGTGGAAAACTGAACCAGATGATGACATGCTATGGGAGCTACTGCAGGAAAGACGTCAATTATACATTGTAGCTGCACACTAAGCTTTATTCCTTCAAAATATGCGAAAAACTTGAGCTTTTCACCTCTTGGGTACATTCTTAGAAACTGACTCTCCTTGATTTGGTACTAAGCCTGAGGAAGCATAGCTTTTTCTTCTCCACTAATTGCAAGTATGTATTTCCCCATTCCCACACATTTCTTGAGAACCGAACTGTCCAAAAAGGTGACTTTTAACCCCAGAAATTATACAATCTTACTGTGCTTGGGGGGTAGAGAGGGGGAAGTGTACAAGGATGGCTGAGAGATGGAATGAAGGGGTATTTTCCTTTGACTTAATATGAGTAACTCTTCCCATTGGAATGGATCCGATATAAATTGGACAGTTAAAGCAAGACAAAACACCAAGCGTTTCTCCTCCTTTAGAAAAGGAACTTAACTTAGTAGGTTTGCCCTGTTGTTTGAGAAAAATAGATCCAACCTACTGTGACACCTTTTGCAGTTCTCAGAGAAGCCTGAGGCCTGCCTAAAGCATCTTCCCACCATTCCCATCTCTACATTATCCCTGGTGGTGACAGTGATGCAAAGGCAGTCAGTTATGCCAGAGAAAATGAGGAGAAAGTTGTGATTGTAGAGGTGGAAAGGTAACCAACGTGAGGGAGTACATCCCTCTCCAAGTCTATATACTCATGCTACTTTAGTGCCTAAACTTGTTGGTTATGTCCAAAGGTTTTCATATTCACTCTGGCTATCTGCCTCTGTGGATCTGATCCCCAAGATAAATTTGACTGCTTTACAATAATTGGAATATCATTTGATTTGATTTTTTAAAAAATTCTTACAGAAGAGAAATCCTCCCTTTCATGCTGCTCCCTACCTGTAAGGAGGAGGCATCTTTAAAAATGATGTTTGATTCAAAAGATTTAAATTCAAAGCACTGTATACTGTAGGCAGGATCAAATGAATGACACATAGCCAGAATGGAATTTGGAAGTTCAGTGACAGATTTTGGCACAGTTGGGTCTTCAAAGGGAGAATTGTTTTATAAGCCAGCTGACATCTTTTTTGTCTGTGAATTTCCCGTGAGAGAAGAGAAGGGGGGTTGGGAAGTACCCTTAAGTGGTACTTTCCTCCCATTCTGAATCAAGGACAAAACTGGAAAGAGCTGGCAGATGGCAGCCCTCCTCTGGCTTCACAGTGCATCATGTTATTAGCAATTAAATGGCTTTTATCTGATCTCTGGTCAACACAACTGTCATGATTTTAAGATGTTAAGATGTTTTCATTGTGATTCTAGTTTGTGGAGATTGCTTTCTGGGTAATCTCAAATTGCTTTTGTTACCCAGTTTCCAGTGTTATTAAAATAATCATCCTTGGTACTGATTGAAATATTAAATAGTATTTCTTATAGTTTTGGCAGTCCCACAGTGAAAGAAGTGATTATTCTGTGTAAGGGCTGAATGAGGTATTTGTCACTATCATTACTGTCATTGCTATGCATCTTTCTGACCTAAAATTCAGCTGACATTATCTCAATAATCCTCACATTCTAGTAAGGTCATAAGGCATTAAACTTTTATCACCATTTCACTGATGAAAATTAAACCTTCACTAACAAGGAAGTCATAGTATCATGAGTGAGAGAATGAAAAAGTATTTACTGAGCACTTACCATATGCCAGACACTGGGTAAGGCACAGAGATACAAGCAGAAAAAGCAAGACAATCCCTGCCCTCAAGAAGTTTACATTCTAATATGGGAAGACAAAATATACAGAGGCATAGTGGCCATGGAGAGGTTTTTTTTTTTGACCAAGGAAGTCACAGGGACATTAAATGCAGTCAGAGCAAATAGATGATTTGGCACATCCTTTCTGAGAATGGTAGTACTGATTTCATTATTGTTGCCAGAGCAAGAGGTAAAAAGTCAAGGGTGGGGGAGGAGTAGGGCATGCACAGTTGCATGCCATAAAGATGGCTCTGTAACAGTTTCATGGGGGTCTCGATCAGTCTAAAAATGGTGAATGTATACCAGCAGAATCCCAGGCCCTAGGGTATAGTTTAGTGGAGTGCCTTTTCAGACAGAAAGAGTCAGGAGGGCAGGAACAGAAATGTGAAGATGACCAGGGAACAGTTAGGGGGGTGGAGTCTTGGTTGAGCTAGAAATGGCAAAAGTTCACCATTTAGAAACCTAGGAGCCCAGATCAAGATCATAGAACCTTAAGGGTTGGAAGGGACCTTAAAGGTCATCTTGAATCATAAGAGCATATGTTTAGAGCTGAAGGGAACTTTAGGGGTCATAGATAGTATCATAGAATTTAGAAAACACCTATTCCAAACTCTTAATTTTACTGATGGTCTATAGCCCAGGGAGGTTGAGTGATTTACCTAACATCACACAAATTGTAAATGGTAGAGCTGTAATTGGGACTCAGTTCCCCTTAATTCCAAAATCTGGAGTTCCTTTCACCAAGTCCTATGAGAAGCATTAATGCTTTCAATCACTGAGATGTAGGCCAACTACCCAAGCAGTCATTCAGATCTCTAGAGAAAGAAATGTATTTATCTCACAAGGTACCCATTACATTATTCAGGAGCTCTAATTATGAGAAAGTTCTTTTCTTTGTTGAACCAAAATCTGGGGGCAACTAGGTGGCACAGTGGATAGAGCACCGGCCCTGAAGTCAGGAGGACCCAAGTTCAAATCCAGCCTCAGACCAAACACTTGACACTAGTTGTGTCAGTCACTTAACCCCAATTGCCTTAAAAAAAAAAAAAGACATGAACCAAAATCTGCCTCTCTGTGACTTCTATCCCGCTGGTCCTAGTTCTGTCCTCTGGGCAACATAAATTAAATGTCATCTCTCTTCCAAATAAAAACTGGGTGTTGCTTCAAATATTTTGAAGATAGTGATTATGTCTACTTAAAATTTTATTTTCTCTAAGCTATTCAGTCCTATTTCTGCCACCTGTTTCCTGATGAGATCGCTAGTTTATTGAGGGTAGGGATTTTTTTTTTACCTTTTTTTGTATCTCCAGGTCTTAGCACAGTGCCTGGTGCCTTAATAAATGTGTATTGACTGAATATCTTACCTTTCCAAAGCTGTCATTCATTCCATGAATCTTTGGCAATGGATCTGACTGCTAAATAGAAAAAAAAATCTATCTTACACAAGGAAAATTTCTTAACCTAGAGCTCTAAGAGACCTTGGAGGCCATCTAGCCCAAGTTCCCACCACCACTTTGTTTTACTAATTTGATACAGTAGCAAGCTATTCTTTGTTCAAAGCATTCTGAGTTTCCATTAACTAATAACTTTTCTGATTAAGGTCAGTGGATTACCAACACCAGATTTAAGTTGGCAACTGGATGGAAAGCCAATTCGCCCTGACAGTGCTCACAAGATGTTGGTGCGTGAGAATGGTGTGCACTCCTTGATCATCGAACCTGTCACATCTAGAGATGCTGGCATCTACACATGTGTAGCCACCAACCGAGCTGGGCAGAACTCATTCAGCCTGGAACTCATTGTTGCTGGTAATTATTTTGGAACACCTATATGTCTCTTAGAACACCAGACTCTATGGTACAGTCTTTTCTGTATGTTTTGCCACACCATCCATTTGCATATCCAATCACCATTTGATGTACCATCAAAATGCCAACACAATCAGTACAGGTACAAGACGTGGCAAATGACTTGTACCAGCTAATAATCAGCCATTGCTTTTATAAGAGTTTCTTTCCTCTTTCCTGACTATTTCCCACCAGCCTAACTAAGGGAGAAAGAATTCTAAGCAGCATTTTTGCCAGTTCATTAATCTTTCTGTGTATAAGATTGTTTTCTACTGGAAGAGAGGGAAAGAATGACAACTACAACTTCCAGCGAACTGCCATTATAGCTTTATGCCTGCTTGTGTCTAGCCATTACCTTTACAGAATTTACCTTTACATTATCTTTTACAGAAGAAGATGCCTTGTATTATCTGAATGAGTAAATGAATGAATAGCATTTAACTTCAGAGGTGACTCTACTTTGCTGCCAGATTCAAATTAATCTCAAACTGTATTATTTTTCACTCACTATCAATATGCCTTTTCCTTTCCCAGTCATACATCCCCTGCATGAAATTCCTTACTCTACTTCTCACATGATTTACCAACTTCTTGTTGGTATAGTCTGCACCTCATTATTAGTACATTTGGCCAAAGCAATGTATTCATTGATAATATGGTAGGCAAAATAAGGAAGAGTGTTGTGTCAGAATACAATTCTTATTGGGATCAAATGAGATAATATATGTAAAGCACTTTGCTAACTTTGAAGTACTATATAAATGGAAGCTGTTTATTGTTGGTGTTGTTGTTAAGATGAAAACTCAATATTATGTCTAAGGGGGAGTTTCATAGCATTCTTATGAGCTAAACCATAATAAGAATGTTGATTTTTCCTCTCCCAAAAAATAAAGCAATTCAATTTAATAAACATACATTAAACACTTATTCATATGCATGACACTACTTTAGGCACTAGGAATCCAAAGGCGAATGAAATAGTCCTTGCCATTAGGAGCATACATTCTATTGAAAACCAAATAATCATATGGACCTAGCATAGGCCCAGACAAAGAACTATGGTACTATATCAGACCAAGGTACAGACCTTTGGAAAAACTTACACATGCTATAATTCTTCACACTCAAGTGTTCTTCCATTAGCCATACAGCAATCTTTGTTCTAGTTAAATGTGCTTTTGGTTCATTCTGGTTCTCATATACTGGGACCACTGAATTTGGGCCAGATGTCTTGACTTTCTCAAGATATTTGTCAGTGGGTGAGACTTCTCGACATAGTGAATTTTATGAGTTGTCCTTTCCAAAATGACAAATACACTTTTATATACTGCTTACTCCACATTCCCACTTGTTAGGTTGAGCTAGAAATGGCAAAAGTTCACCATTTAGAAACCTAGGAGCCCAGATCAAGATCATAGAACCTTAAGGGTTGGAAGGGACCTTAAAGGTCATCTTGAATCATAGGATCATATGTTTAGAGCTGAAGGGAACTTTAGAGGTCATAGACAGTATCATAGAATTTAGAAAACACCTATTCCAAACTCTTAATTTTACTGATGGTCTATAGCCCAGGGAGGTTGAGTGATTTACCTAACATCATACAAATTGTAAATGGCAGAGCTGTGATTGGGACTCAGTTCCCCTTAATTCCTGTTCCCACCAAAAAGGACAAAACCCAGCCAAATGTAGCCGTATTAAAAGTATAATTCTCTTAAGAGGTTTCAGAGAATTTTGAACCTTACTCTATTCACTAATCTTTTTTTGTCAGCGGCTCCATTTTGGTTGAATGACCACTAGGGGGTGATATGGACATGCACACATCCAAAAATTATTTCTACTCAAGAAAGACATTAGGCCTTCCATGAATAGCAAGAGTTAAGGCATTAATTCTAGAGACATCAGTTTGTGCTTCTATTTTCAGAGATAAAGGAAATAAAGCTAATTTTTCATACTTCAAAGAGCACAGATCAAACCAGCTGATCAAACTAAGAGATTTATCTATCCTAGATCAGGAGGTGATTATAAATACTGCACTCCTTCCCATAGATCTGTGGTCTCACCCATATGAGCATTCTCTCCAATGATGCATATAGCAAACCATCCATACCTGTGTAGACCCTCCCTAAAATCTTCCACATTCTATTTTTAATATTTTATTTTAAATCCTGAAACCGAAATAGGTTGGGCTCTCCTGCTGTGTAATGATAATGTACACATTTTCCAAGGGCTGCTTAACAAGCACAGAAGATAACTGGGGAAAGTTAACTGGAATAAATTTGACTTCAGCTAATGTGGTGGCCTTGGAAAAAAGCATGCCATGGTTATCCATGTCACTAGGTGGCGTTAGCTGGAAGAAGCAATGAATTCCTAGCAAAAGAAATTAGCAAGTGAGGCTAACACAGATGCTTAGGGTTGGGACTAGGAGACTCTTACACAGCTCACCTGACAGAGCCATTCAATAGAGCAGATGGTCAATGGACTGTGTGGGCTGAATGGTTTGAATTAACTGCTGAAATAAATTAGCAGAAGGGAAGATGAGCATCACTTTGGTTAGTGAAAGAATGATCTGGAGATCAGAAAGAAGGGAAAAGCAAAAGTAGAAAATTAAAAGATGTACTCAGACTATATTTTAAAAGCGCTTCTCACTCCTGCATAGTGTGGCCCCAGGAACATAGAATAAATACTGATAAATGGTTCCTTTCATGTTTTCCTAGCTAAGGAAGCACACCAAGCCCCTGCATTTCTTGAGAAGCTGCAGAACACAGGAGTTGCTGATGGGTACCCAGTGCGACTGGAATGCCGTGTTTCTGGAGTTCCTCCACCTCAGATATTCTGGAAGAAAGAAAATGAGTCGCTCACTTACAGCACTGACCGCGTGAGGTTGGCCTGAATCTGTGATTCCGTCAAGTTAAATTAGAACTGTTTAAATCTGAACTCAGCCAAAAACAAGACTTTTCATATTTAATAACATAGCATAGTAAAATCATAGTCTATCCTGAAGTGTCCCTTATTAAGAGGCACAAGCTTTGAAGGAGATGCTACCAATGATCTGAGGGAAAAAAAAAACAGGTTTTGCTTAGTCTAACAGTGATATTTTTTTTTTTAAAAAAAAAGCTTTTTCTTAGTATTTTAGAAGATGAATCTATTTGTTTTAATATCCTGCCAGGGGAAATGTTTAGTGGTTTGTTTGTTTTTTTTCCAAGCCAAAAACTTGGCTAGAAATTAAGTACATAGATTTATTCTACCCCTTGATGTCCACTCTTATATCCCATTAATGTTAATGGGGCTTGCCTGCCTCTCCAGAATAAGTAGACCCCATTATCTACTACTTGAAAAATTCTGCTTCTAATGATCTAATTAAAAATAATGCTGCATGTCAAAAGCCATTTTTAAAATTTTATTTAGAGTCCTAATGACCTTCCCCTTCTCATCAGCATGCACCAGGATAATCATGGCTACATCTGCCTGCTCATTCAAGGAGCTACAAAAGAGGATGCTGGATGGTATACTGTGTCGGCAAAGAATGAAGCTGGGATCGTGTCATGCACTGCCAGGCTGGATGTTTATAGTGAGTGCCCCTTTATCTCTTGTATTCATTCTATCCTGAAATTTAAGATAGCTAAATGTTGCATCAGTCAGCTTGGAGGTATCCTGACCAACCTCCATAAAAGCAATCCATTCACAAAAAGGTTTATGTTGCTCTCTTTCTTTCTGTTTGTAGTTTCTCGACACTAATAGTGATCCACACCAGGAGAACAAATACACTGTCAAAGTATAAGTCAAGATTTTTGAAATATTAAAAGCAAAATATGCATGCTAATGTTTCTTTGTGTAGTCAGCTATATGACTGGCTTTTTTACTTAAGCATCTGTAGTAGTAGGGAAAGGCATGATTACACTCATTTTTCATATGTTTTTGTTGTTACGAGGCTCTGCAAATGACAACGTTTAATGTCTCCTTGTATCATAATTCTATTATAATCTTATAGTGCACTCTAGAAATGTACACTAATGAGCCAAGAATGCATATACTCTGTTGTAGCTTATTGCTTTCTTAGCCAAAGTGTATTAATATAGCTTCAGCAGTGGATTTTCATCAGCATTTGTGTGAGTGTGTGTCTGTGTGTGTGCAGATGTGTGCATGCACACCAGAGTATACCATTCCTATGTTTCAGATAGGAGGAATTTGTGTAAGTAAACTAGTAATGTTCCCTAGGCTCAGGCAAAATGTTCCTATAAAATTGTTGAACCAGCATAATATGATCGAGAGCCTTTATGTATGTACATATATGTATATATTTATGTGTGTTGTATGAGTGATTATGTATACATAACCACTAGAAAAAATGAGACTTGTTTTATTTCAGTTTTTCAATTTAATTTGGATTGAAAACAGTTTTGTGGAGTCCCTCCTGGGAAGATTCACTCAAACTGACCTCCCAACCCAACCTTTTTCCATACATTGGAGTTTAAAAATGCCCAATCAGGGTACCTAACAACATCTGTGACAATGGACAGCAGAAATAGGTTTGAGAGAGAGAGAGAAAGTTACCACATTTTAACTTCACAATAACACTCATTTTTACACAACAACTTAAGCTTTACAAAGTATTGCTCTCACCACAACCCTATGAGATCTAGGCTTTGAGAGGGAAAAGAAAACGGGATGGAAATTTGTGGAGGGAGCAGAGAGCGATGTTGCTTAGAGGATATTTCAGAAGATTCTCCTTGAGAATCTTTCCTTTGGAGTGAAGGTAAATTATATATATTCTGGCTGTGATGGCCAAAGCACCCTAGAGAAAGGAACAAAATGTAGGTGAAGTTACCATCTGTAAATAAAGCAAGATTAGGTTGAGAGGTGGGAGGGGGAGGGGGCAGAGGACAGAAAACAGGAAGATCACCCAGTCTCAGTGTTAGTTAAATTGGTCATTCTCTGTTTTCAAAATAGAATGCATGGCCAAGTTATTTGAGCAAGAACTTTTTAAATTTACTTTGATCATCTGAGAATCTACACTCTGATTAAACACTAACCTATTCTCTTTGCCTTTCTATAGCCCAGTGGCATCAACAGCCCCAGAGCACCAAGCCAAAAAAAGTACGACCCTCAGCCAGTCGCTACGCAGCACTTTCAGATCAAGGACTAGACATCAAAGCAGCGTTTCAGCCTGAAGCCAACCCATCTCACCTGACTTTGAATTCAGGCTTGGTAGAGAGTGATGATCTGTAGATCCTGTGTTATTTGCAAAACAGAAACACTGAAAGCCATTGCCTTGACCAACCATATTCCTTTGTCACTTTATGTAAAAGGTAGACACACACCTTTGACTACATACAAGAGATAAAGAACACCATAACCTTACTTTTTTAACTTACTATTACACCCAGTGGAGAGTATTAGTAGCTGGTATTCATAGAAATGTACACCTTGCACCAAAAATTCACATTCATCCAATTTTTTAATTTTGAGATTTGCTATGAGTATCTTTGTCAGAAATGCCAAAGCACTAAAGGAAACCAATTGAGTGAAAGCAAACACGGTTTGTATGCATCACCAAATGCCTTTAAACACAAGCTCACTAGTGCTCTTCAGCATACTGTGAAATGCTTAATTGGAGGCAGTTGGACTACAAGTCAAAACTAAAATATGATGCTAAAGTGGCAATGCATTGAGACAGCTACAGTGAACAAGTGCAATATGGTAGAATCCAAAAGGACAAATACATCCAAGTAAACATTTTCTTCCTTCTGCAAATTGCTTCCTGTTATATCATAGAGAAAGAACTACTTGCCTTAAATGTTCATTGATATCAACAGTTTTCTAGCAAGGTTAACACCTTAGTTTTGTTTTGTTTTGTTTTTTTTCCTATGTGTAGTATTTTTTCTCTTCCTGCCTCCTCCTCCCCTTGGGCTGGAAGCTTATTTACAATCCATACTGAAAAAGGCTAATTTAAGTACCAATAATTTAATGTATTTTGAATAAGGTCTGAAGTGTATAGTACAGTCTGTTCCATGGAAGGAATCCAAACACCCCCATGACAACCATGGCATATTATTCTAGGAGGATGGATGGGAGAGGAGAAAGAAGGTAGTGGAATACAAGAATTTTCTGCCATTGTGATTGTACTGCATTCATTTAAATGAACTGGAAAGAACAGGAAGATGGTAAAGACCAGGTCTGTTTTTGTTGTTGTGAGTGAATGAATCTCAAATTTATTTGAATAAAACACCACCATTCGCAAGTCTCAAATGCTGGGGTCAGCTAGAAGTCTAGGGTATGTGTAAGGAGGGAATTTCAGTGTGTGTGGTATTTCTGTCTTGTCTGAGAACTGGAACAGTATAGAGCAAGTTGAAATGGACTGAATCTGTAAGACTGATGGAAATGGCAAGTAAGCACCTGTGGGAGCTGGTTTCATGGCTATTTGAAGGAAATAAAGCTTGAGGAGGGGCAAAAACAGACTTGTGTCATAATGTATTTTACTTCATGGTATATACATGGTCATGGCAAATGCTAAATATCAATTTACTTCTCTGCTATGCTATAATCCAGTGACCCTCCTCTAAGAAGGGACTATGTTACATGCAGTACATGAAGATGTTAGATTAAAGGCTGCTTTCCAAATGCAAGGTGATTCGACATCAAACTGGACTGGGCAGATTCTGACTAGACTTGGAGGTCTTAATTCAGAACTAAGCCATTTTAATGAGGGAAAAATAATTAGGCTGAACGAGAAAACATGAGGTTTTGATGGTACTTCGCTATGAAAGGAAAACACTGTATTCCTTATACAAAGCACATATATCTTTCATTATTTATAATAAAAATGTTGAAATCTATCTCAGCTCATTTATTCAAGTTATTACTTTGTTTTGTTTTGTTTTTTTAAAGAATTTTATAATTGTGTACCACCCCATATATTTTGCATTACGGCTACACATGTATTGCTTTGTACCTCTTTGTAAGAACACCAACCAGGTTTTAAGTGATTGATGAACTTTCACACTTAAGATAGCTATTGTTCTCTGGAGAGTGATACCAGTTTTCTGACCACACTCATACACATGGCTAATATGAATTTAAGATGCAGTACCCAGTCGGTCCTGGAACTATTCTACCTATACTTTAGAAATATGTCATGTATCACTTGCCAAATTTTTCTGAATGTGACTTGCTAATTTACTGGTTTTTAGCTTCACTAGCATTATTTTGCCACCTTTTATTTGTATTTATAAAGAAACAATGTACTAGCATACTGCTTTGGATTGTCGTGTTGATAACATGTGGTTTTAACATCAATAAATATTTAACAAGTAAGATAGTTGTCATTTTCTGAAGCAAGGTATTTTAGTCTTTTTCTCAATGCAAAGGTACAGTGTCATCAAAAGTACATTCTAGTGCTATTTTACCCAAAGGAATAGTTGTATAAACATAGATAACACAAAACTGGGGCAGGGGGAAGAATCGGGACCCGACAAGATCTTACCACTTTAAAATGATGGGCCAAAACTAATCAGGGAGAAATGTATAGACAAACACAAAATAATACCATCTAGTTCAAAAGATCAACTTCACAAGTGTAGGATGGGGCAATTCAGGCAGAAAAAGGAGTTCAATAGCAGTCAAAAATATGTCATGGTTGCCAAAAAAGTTACTGCAATCATCTTGTTTTGTTGTTCAGTCGTTTCAGCTGTGTCTAACTCTTCATGACCTCATTTCTGGAGCTTTCTTGGCAAAGATACTAGAGTGGTTTGCCATTTCCTTCTCCAGCTCATTTAACAGATGAGGAAAGTGAGGCAAACAGGGTTAAGTGAGTTGCCCAGAGTCATACAGCTAATAATTGTCTGAGGCTGGATTTGAGCATGGGTCTTCCTGACTCCAGGGCTGGCACTTTAAACACTGTGCCATCTAACTGCTCCAAAGCAATCATGAGGCAACATTAACACAAGTATTCTGACCTGCTCAAATCATATCTGAAGTATTGTGTTTGAACTGGACCCCACAGTTTAGAAAGGACATTGACAAACTGGAGGCTGTCCAAAGCAGGAAAACTAGTATGACAAGGGCCTAGAGAGTATTATACCAGCATCCATTGAAGGAACTGGGCTATTTGGCCTGGAGAACAATAAACTAAGGGAAGAATGTGAGAGTTGTCTTTAAATAGTTGAAGAGTATCCTGTTGAAGCAAGATTAAACTTGTTCTGCTTGGTTCTACCTCGAAAAACTAATTCCAGTTAGAAATACAGAATTAATTATATTAACTAATTAATGTAATTACGTAAGTTTAAGATGGGTCTATTTTGGCTTGATGTACAGAAAGACTTCCTAACAATTAGATCTATTCCAGTGTAATGGGCCATCTCAGAAGATACTGTGCTTTTTTTCATGTGAAGTCGTCAGAGAGACTGAATGGACACTAAAGGAGGATGTAGGCTCTTATTCAGATACATATTGGACTGTGTGGCCTTATGTCCCTTCCAACTGAGATTCTGTGGATCACTTAGGTTGGGCCTATGGGGGTTTTTTTTGTTTTGTTTTTTAGGCAATTGGGGTTAAGTGACTTGCCCATGGTCACACAGCTAGTGTCAAGTGTTTGGTCTGAGGCCATATTTGAACTCAGGTCCTCCTGACTTCAGGGCCGGTGCCCTATCCACTGTGCCACCTAGCTGCCCCCAGGCCTATGGTTTACATAAGGCATTGGGGTCATCCCACCCATTGTCCTTGCAGCACAGCAATCAGTAGATCAACGAGCATTTATTAAGCACTTACTGTGTGCTAGGCATTGTACTAAGCACTTGGGAATACAAAGAGAGGCAAAAAAAAAAAAAACCAAGTCTCTACTTTCAAGGAGAGCTCCTGTTTTAGGACTAGCAGTTTTTATAACAATGTTTCTCTTCCCAGTGCCCCTTTTTCCTAGTCTCTTTCCAGAACAAATTTCTCCTTGCTTTTGCTATATAAAAATGATATTAACACCTGCAGAGTCCCTAGCTTTCTGAGAAACTAGTGTTTGAGTATGAACCATAGTTTGAGTTTTTGCCCATTTCCCTAACACAACCTAAATTCCAATTCTACTAATTTCTGTGATTAAAATTTGAAATAATTTATATCCTAAAGCAGCACGTAACTGAGGAAAGGGAATTCACTTACAGAATTTACATTTATGTAGAGCAGATGGTAGGAACAAAATCCAGATATTTTAAAAGAATTTGATTTCAAGGGAGATGGTTAAAAGCATATGAAACAGTCTTAGATGATTAAAATATTCAGAAAGTGCTTCATTTAAGTAATGGGACTTGAGCTGAGACTTAAAGGCCAAAGCCAATTTGTATGGCCAAGAGTAATGATTCAGAGGTAAGAATAAATGTGATCTTTTAGTGGGGGAAGGGTTCCTCATGGGAAGCACTCAAAGACAGAGTAGGGCCAAACTGCTGAAGGCCTTGAATGGCATGGTGAAGGAGTTTGGACTTTAGCCTGTGGGCAATGAAGAGTTATTAAAGAAAAGCTGGGGGCCTAGGGAGTGAAATGATCAAAGCAGTGTTTTATGAAGCTTATTCCCCTGTCAGTGAGTGGGATATATCAGAGAAAGTTGGGCAACTGTTAGTTTCCTCTGAGTATCTCTTTGCTGGGATCTGAGTATCTTTTTCATGGGAGTTCATTGATGTGTATCTATACAAGTTTGTGCAGCAGTGAAGGTATAAGTCCCAAGTCTGATTTTATCACTGAGTGGTGGCTTCAGAACAATTTTTGCCTTTCCTACCTCTAAAACATGCATAGTAATTTCTTTTTGTGGTGTCCAAGTGCTTGGAGATCTTAAGATAAATTTTTTGGAGGAATCCAATATTTAGTTTGCAGTGGTGGAAGTATATGTGACTAATAAAACAGCAACCTTAGAAATTGTATTTAAATAATCACTAGAGTGAAAAATAGAGTAAATATAAGATTTCTAAGAAAATTATTTGGAGAGGCACCATAAATAAAAGTATGAGTTAACATGAAAATATAGAACAGGAAAACATTGCAGACAATGGGGAAATTAAGTAAGAAAAACACTATAAAGAAAGTGAAGAATATAGAACTAAGAGAGCAATATGTTCTTGTTTAGATGTGTCCAGCTCTCCGTGACCCTATTTGGGGTTTTCTTGGCAGAGATACTGGAATGGTTTGCCATTTTCTTCTCCAGTTTATTTTACAGATGAGCAAACTGAGGCAAACAAGGTTAAGGGACTTCCCGAGGGTTGTATAGCTACTAAGTGTCTGAGGCTAGATTTGAACTAAGGAAGATGAGTCTTCCTGACTTCAGGCCCAACACTCTAGCCACTGTGCCACCTAACTGCCCCTAAGAGAACAATATACATAATCACAAATAATGTGGATGAAAGGAATGCTAAAAGGTAGCCAGTATCTGATTAATTGCAATGACCAGTCTTAAATACAAGAAACAGAAGGTGAAACACACCTCCCTCCTCTGAGAAGAAAGGTGGAGGACTATGAGTGTAAACTATTGCACATGCTGTGAGAAGCATGTACTGTTTCCAGCTGTTTTTTATTATTTTCTTTGCTCTAAGGGAAGGTTGGGGGGGGGCAGTATTTAGAGAAATAAAAAGCAAAAAGCATCAATAAAACTTAAGAAAGGGCACAAATGATTGTGCACTGTGTATGTAGAGTAGCCCTACACGTATGTGCACTGGAATCCAAACAAGCACCAAACCCCATTCCAAAGATCACTTTAAAAAAAAAAATCTGGACAGAGTTCAACTGCTAAACAATTGGGATTCTCTAGATTTCTGCCCATGAAAAGTAAATTGTCATGTAGCAAAACACAAGTATTATCCAACTCTTCTGTCCCAAAGAAAATGATCCTATAAACATAAAATTTACAGTCAGTCTAACTGAACTGTGGATCTCTTTCTTATAAGTCTTCAGGGATGTTACGTGGGGCTGGTTGGGGATCTGAAAAGTGATGATATTATTTGACATACCAACAAAAGCCATTTTTCACTTTAAATAGAGGATGAGGAAAACAGCAGTGTAGTTTAACTGTTGACTTGGAATACATCATTTAAATTATTTTCTTCCATCATTTTCCCTTTTTACCTGAACAAAATTAGATCAGGACAGTGTTTGACATCAGGAAGGATGAGGAAGAACATGGTCTTACTTGAGCATAAACTGCATGATCTATCCCTGAATAATTGAGCAACAGTATATACTGTAACTACAAAATTATGAAAATATTCTCTTTAATTAATTAATCTTGTTTTATAGTCCCAATACAAAGTATCATAGAAACAGAGGATCTAAGGACCATGAAATCATAGATTTAGAGTTGGCAGTGACTTTAGAGACTACCTAATCCAACTCCCTCTTTTTGTAGAAGAGGAAAGTAAGGCTCAGAAATGACACTGAGAATATTCTCTAAAAACAAATGATGGATCAAAACCAAGGTTTTCTGATCCAACCAAGGTTTTATTTGTTTCTACAAAAGGAAGCAGAGATAAATTGCTCTAAATACTATTTCTATTTTACATGGCACAGTTACACATAAGTGTTTTGATAGATAGGGTGTTTGGTAAGTGTGGTAAGTCTAGTAACAATGAAAAAATATTAAATATCTCATAACATTCTTCAATTTCTCTATATTCTAAAATGTTTTGCTTTAGAAGCATATTTATGATTTTAAAAATAATAATATGATTGACATATTAGCTCTAATTATCAAAGTTCCACTGCTCCAAGACGGAGTCAATCTTATTCCTCCTTTTCAACATAATAGACAAAGAGTTAGAGGTAATATTTGAATCAAGAGTCTTTCACACCAAATAAAGTGGAATTTTTTTTAATCGTAATATAGAGATATGGATTAGCTCCCAATAACAGCAATCCAAATTGAATCCTTGGAGATAGATACTTCCAATGGCATCTTAACATTAGTTAAGATCTATATACAGAAACTGACTCCTTTCTCAATAAGATCATAGGTGTGCTCAGACAGCATTCTAAGTGTTCCAAAATACACTGTGCCATAACATTGGGTCTTTCCATTCTCTTCATGGGAAGAGACTGTGCAGCAGTGGCAGAGTGTACCATCTTACTAGTTAGGCACACCTATGGATAGTAGATGTAAATTTAAACAATTAAGTTAAATTCAAATCCTATGTCAAATATTTATGACACATGGGGAAACCATGTCCATTTGCAAAATTAGAATAAAGAATTTATGGTATTAAAAATTATTTTCACAAATTATTAAAACTTTTCTAAAGGAGGGGATTTTAGAGAATTTGCTCAAGAACGCATGAAAATGATTACAAAGAAAA